TGGTGGGCTCCAAACCTTGTTCATTTTGTTCCTTTCATCAACTCTATGGCATGATCTCAAAGTTGGGTTCTGTGTAGCTCTCCATTTTTCTTACAAGGGTGCTCCTCATTCTCTCCAAATTATAGATCCATAACCAAGTGGCAATGAATGAGGTAAACCTCTTCCACCAACTACCTGCTGCTCAGGTGAAGATCTAGATGTTGTGTTCAGTCCCATGAGTAACTGGAGATTGACATTATTTTGTGAACTAAAAGCCGCATGCAGGAAGAGCCATAGCCCCATCTCTGCTTGAAAGTTAGGGGACAGCAGGCCTAGTGTGGCTTAACTGGAAATGCAAACCCAAGTTCAAGGCCAGGGGTCTCTTCCCAGAGATGGACAGGCAGTAGAAGGACCCATCAGAATCACAAGGAAAGTTCCTCAACATGAAATATCCTTCCCAACCCGGCCGGTGTGGCTCAGTGGTCGAGCATCGACCTGTGCACCAAGAGTTCTTCAGTTTGATTCCCGGGCAGGGCACATGCCCAGGTTGTGGGCCCGATTCCCAGTGGGGGGCATGCAGGAGGCGGCCAATCGATGTTCTCTCTCATTCATGTTTCTATCTCTCTTTCCCTTTCCTTTCCTCTCTCTCTAAAAATCAATACAGAAAAAGAAATTTTTTTCAAGAAAAAGAAATATCCTTCCCACAGGCAGAGGCCATTCCAGGTCATTGATTTCTGGCTTTCGATCTTTGGGCTCAGGAATCACTGTGCCCTCTCCTCCTCTTTTTCAAATGAAGCCATAGCAGGCAAAAACAGATAAAATCGCAGGCAGTAAGGGCCCTGGCATCCCACACTATTGGCGAACCCCAAACACCACCGTGGAGCCTGGCCACTTATAAAAAGTCCGTAGCCTGGACTTTTTTAAAGTATATGTAAACAAATACCTATCTCAACTATTTAAAAAAATCTTGAAAAAGTTCCCGCAGAACGTCCGACTTAGAGCAAGGCGACTTCCTGGTGCACCTTCCAGAGCAAACCTGCTGTAAAATGCATCACGAGCTCCTGGGTGAGGCAACCAGCTGCGTGGAGATTTTAACCATATTGACCTGTTTTTTAAAAAAATAGCAAAAAATGGTGATACTTGTAAAAGAGTTACCATGCAGTCAGCCCTTCCTTTGGGAATTCATGAGTTATCAGAGACCAGTCAAGTCCACCTGTTTTAGGATAATAAATCCCCTGATCTGTAAAGAGAATGCTTATTTTTTCTTTTTCTTTTTTTGACTTGTAAACACAATCGACAACAGTCCCAAATCAAATAACAGTGTATTGAAAAGGAGAGTCCTGGCTGGTATGTTTCTGTGAAATGAACTGCATAGCTTTGCTTTTGCAATAACTATTACTCTTGATTGCAGTGGTGGTGATGTTCATATTTTGGACCTGAGAACATTTTTGAGACTCTTGAAAATCCCAGAAGCCCATGCACTGCTGTTCTCTCCAGAGCCTATTAGGTAAACTAGCCCCAGTCTATGAAGCTTCCTGCAGGGCTTACTGGGAGGAAGTATCCAGTGTCAAGAACCATGTTCATCCTACTAAACAATGTCATCTCTGTGGGGAGCAAAGGGGAAAATTCCTCTCTGATTGCAGTATCAAGAGCAGTGTGCTTCTCCTGTTTTTGTCTTGTGAGCCCATGAATCACAGACGTGACCGTGTGTCCCTCTTCCCACTGGCTACTGGGAAGCTCAGAAAACAAGTGTGCCATTTTGTGCCCTAAACTTGCTCCTCCTATTTCCTACCCTAGCTTTCTTTTTTCCTTATTTTGTCTCGTTTATTTAAATTTATTTGACCTAGCTTCATTAATGATATGTATGCTCCCTTAAACCCTTTTAGGATCAAGGCAGGCTATAAACAAATCAATATATAAACAGCGTTATTTTCCCCTAAAAGTGCCTTTCTCGCATATTTTCTATTAGCGATGGCCCGTCTGTTAAAGTGGGAGTTAACATTCACGGAGCACTTACCATGGGCTAGCACTGTGCGCGGCACTCGACATGGGTAACAGCTCCCGGGACGGGTGCTTCTGTCCTGCTGAGGCAGGACAGCAAGAAGCTAGGAAAATTCCTTGGCCGGTAGAATGGGGAAACTGAGACAGACAGTTGAACAAACTGGCCAAGCAATTTACAGCCAGGTACAGAAGGTCACCAGGGTGGAAAGTCCCAAGTGCCTAGCAACAGGCAAACTAGGGCTGGACCTCACCCCCAGGGCGGTCTCTCCTCCCCTGGCATATCGCTGGTCATGCGCTCAGACCCCTGACCTTTCCTCCCCAGAGAGAAAGAACCTCTAGGCCTCAGACGCATTTCTGCTCCAGGTCCGGAAAAGCAGCAAAGTCAGCAGGAGACGCCAGGACCAGCTGCAATGACAAATGAGCCCTGCTCTGACACTGACCAATCAGTGGAGACCACCACCCTGAAAAAGCTGGTGTATATTCTGTTGAGATCCCCCATTAAGATCTTCCCTAAACTGTCAGCCTTTAAAGACCCTCAGACCGAAGGTCCCAGCACATTCTCTCCCTCCCGGGAGCATGCCGTGCCTTTCCCTCCCCCTCTCCTTCCCCACAGGCATCTCCTAACTCCAAGGGACCCCATGAGACTTGCAACCAGGGGAGCCATGGGCAGCTGTAGCTCATCCCAGGCTAATCCCCCGAACCTGTTCCCAAAGCCCCTTTTCTCTGACTCTCCAGTGGGCCCAACCAGCCCTGCCTTGACACCCTTCTTCCCCCCGACGTTTCTAGAAAGCCAAAGCAGCCTGGCCAGGCTCTCTCCTTGCTTCAGTCCCTCGCTTTGATAAGTACTCTCAAAACCACCTGGAATCAAAAAAGGAGAAACCTCTGTAATAAAAATAAGTTAATTAAATAAAAATAAATAGATTAATAGGGGAAAAAAATAAAGCCACCTGGAACCATACTGTGACATCTTTCCTGCATGAAGTCAAGAACGCACACGCGACCAGCCCGGTTCCCTTTCTGGTAACACTACTACTTTCTAGATAAAGAACCCCGAGGTTTGGCTGTATGAGGTCGCTCGCCAGGGCCACTCAGACCATCAGAGGCAGGAATTCCATCCAGGTCCGCATGGCCACTGCCTCACCCCGGATGGAAGCCCTGCTTTTATCCTGACGGCCTTTTCCCGTATTCGATCCTACCGATCGGGACTCCCCAGCGCCTCCTGATTCTGTTCCTCTCTCCCCTGTCCTGCCCAGCCTCCCGTTTCAGGGCCCTTTTTCATCTGCTGGGGTGTTTGCAATCGCTCCTCAGAAGATGGCTCTGAATCCACGCCTCTGAAATACAAAGGTGTCCTCAAGTTCCTGACAGGGTGACCCCATCGTAAGCCAGTCTGGTTTCGCCTACCATGCAGGGACATTACCATCTGTCCCTGGTCTGACCAGACACCGTGACCAACCCTGTGCTTCCAGGACAGATTACTTCCCAAACAAGGGTCACGTGTCCGAGCCTCGGGGCCTCATACACAGTTTTCTCCATCCGGCCTGGTGACCTACACATCTTCCTCGTTTCAGATCAAAATGCCACCTCCCCTGTGAAATACTTTGCGTCTCCTGGTCTCCCACCCTCCTCCATGAATTTCCCATCGGTCGGGACGTCCTCACCATTTATTATTGAGGTCTTTGTTTAGTCGTCCAGGTCCTGGGAGACAGGAACTGCATTGCCTTACCCACCTTGGAGCCCCCAGCCCAGGGCCCGGCACACGGCAGCCACTCAGTAACTGGTGAATGCTCAACCAAGTGTAGGTCCAAACTGGATCTTTGTGCCAGAAAACCAGCCTCCTCGAAGCCCCAACCTCTAAACCCAAGACTCCAGGGCCCACCACTCATTTGCAGCTTTGGGCACATTAGGAAAAAGTGCCACATCTAGGATTCCCAGCCCGAATGTCACTTGCTCCATAAAGCTCCCCGGCGCCTCTCAGGCAGACTTAGCACCTCGCTGTTTTCCAGCTCCCTAGCTGTGGAAGGCACCCATGTTTGAGTCTTACCATATTACATCTCTGTTCTTTCTTCCCTGCTTGGTCTCACCAGTAGCTGTGAGTGAGGAAACAGATCATGTCTCAGCCACCTTGAGTCTCCAATGCCCCATGAAGCCTTTTGCCCACGGGGGGGGATGCGGAAAAGGTTTTAGACTAAAGGCAGAGCTCCAATCAAGTTAGTCCTCAGTGCAAAGTCTTCACAGAGCCTCCCGTCTGCCTCCTGATTGTTCCAGACGCCCCAGCCTGGTGCACCGGACGCTCAGCCTCAGGCTCCCCATTCCCCTCCCCAGCGCCCGCTCCTCAGCTCACCTACACTCCTCTGTGCTGCGGGCTTCTGAGCAACTCTCCCCTCTGCGCCTTTGCTCACCTGTCCCTCTGCCTGCAACGCCCTCTCCTCTTTGCTTGTCCAAATTCTATCCACCCTTCAAACCCAACTCAGATGCCAGCTTCTCCACGAAGCATCCCACCCACGACGTGGCCTCTCGCTGCAGAGATCGAACAGACTTTGTCCTTCCCGAGTCAGTCCCGACACGGGGCTCTGTGTTTGAATGATGCGGCTGTACTTAAACCGCTTTGAGGGCAGCTACTCCCAGACTCTAGTTCAGTGCGCACTGTAAATGCTCAAACATCAGGCTGAACGCAACAGGGACCAGCGGCGCATCTGCCCCTGGACGAGGCCGCCAACTCCTGCTCAGGGAACCAGCAGGGCACAGACCTCTCCTCCTCTCTGTCTCAGGACCAGCAAAGCCTGAGCTCAGGGAAGAACTGCATAAGTCGCCCCTCCCTTCCTGCCCCCAGCCAACGGAGTTGGGCTTCCCCTCTGGGGAGGTAAGAGTTTGCTCCACCCTCTCTCTTTTCCCCAAGACGGAGTAGAAATTCACCTCTGACAGCGTTGTGTTCAAGCTCCTGCGGGACAGGACCGCCCAGGCACGGGGGCGCTCAGCACGCCGCCCCTGCGCTGCTGCAGACCCAAGCCTCTCCCTCCGGCATGAAGCCCGCGCCCCCCGCCGCCCTGCTCCTCGGCCTGGTCTGCGCCTCCTTCCACTCGGCTTGCTTGGCAGGTGGGACTGAGAGTTTTATTCTTGGCCACACTGGGAAGGGAAGGGAGGGGGAGGGGGAGGGGGAGAGGAAGGAGGAGGATTCCTTGGCTGGGGTTGGTCCTGCACCAAGAGGAAACAATCCTTTTTCATCTGAAGGATTAGGCAGGGGGTGGTGGGGTGAGGTGGGTGGGGAGGGGGTATCTTACATGTACTCCTGTCCTCAGCTAGGACAGGAGCAGCCACCTCGGGTGACCTTTGCCACAAAGACAGAGGAAAAAGCAATGTCCAGAGCCTCTCCCAGCAGGGCACCCAATCAGCCTAGAATGGCATCTTTTGGGTGCTGCTTCTCAGTGTCCCGGGCTGCTGAGCTCCCTTTGCACCCCTCCGCTCCCCTCAGGTCCTCCGCATCTCCGGTGACCCTGGGCTGTCTTTGCCACTTTCACAAAACCTTAAGGCATGGAAGCTGCCACACGCTGTCTACCATTCCCCTGTCTCCCGGGCCCCAGGAGATGTTGGGTTATTGCCTTGCAGAGGCCCGAGGGGCTGAGGCCATGCCCCCAGGCTCTCCCAGGCTGGGCCCCGAACCTCGAACCTCGAACCTCGTGCAGAGAGACCTCCCTTACACTCCCTGCTCCTGACTTTTGCCTCTGGCTTTGATCCTGCTCCTCAGCTCCCAAGAACAGGGTCTGCCCTGCTCCCTGAGTCTGTCTCTCTCGAAACCAGTCCTTACCCCCCACCCGTTCAGCCTGCATCTGTCTCTCCCATCCTCAGTCTCTCCTGCAGAGGTCGGAAGAGCATCGGCTCTCAAAGCCAGTGAGCCTCAACGCTGCCTTGCGCCACCTACCAGCTGTGTGACCCTGAGCAAATCACTTACCTTTTCTGTGCCCGTTTCCTTATGTATAAATAATCTCAGTGCTTATATGTGTGGCTGTTGTGAAGATGAAATGAGGTGGCTGCAGGTAAATACCTTCGAATAAACTAGCTCATGGTGACTACTTAGTGAACGTTGGCATGTTCATTTGTCCAGTATTAACTCCTCCCCAAATAAGAGTGTTTTGTGACTGTTTACCCACAGAGTCTTGTTTAGGGCAGGGCGTCCAAAAACTTCATGAACTGGACTGCACCGAATAGTTGGGTCTTCCCAGCAGCCTTTCCTTTGGAAGTGACCCCAACTGGGACCAGGCCCTGACTGGCTCTGCTTGGAGGGTGATATTTAAATTCTAGGAACTTACACCTGGGCTAATCAGTTTGAACCACATGCAATTGCTGAACACTCTTTGACCTGCAGAAATGGTGATTGCACACGGTTTCACCTAATGCCAGCATCCAATTTACTAGGTTTTCTCCCCCTTGTTCTAGACGGGGACCATTTCCATTCCAGGGTAGAGGGCAGGGGAAAGTCAGGGCCAAGGAGGTTCTCTGAGTTATAAGGGACATTAAAATGTTGAGGAATCAATTTCTCCAAAACAAATAAAAACCAGCACTAAACCATGTAGCTGTAAATAATTTACAGTAACAAAGAGATTGCATCAGGTAATGACTGTACTTTAGGCAGGACATTGGAGCAGCTTGGGGGTGGGTGGCATAAAATTAGTCTGAGCAGCAATTTTGTGGCTTTGACTATTCAAGAAGTTTCTCCCTAACCTGTTGTGCTATGTGACAACTTCCTCTGAAGGACATGCTGACCTAGCCTCAGTGGGGCCTTCCAAACCATTTTTTTTTTTTATTCCCAAGAAGCAGATTGAACAGCAATCTAGTTTCCAGAAAATCTTCAAAATTGGTCTCTTGCCCAGCCGATGTGGATCACTGGTTAAGCGTTGACCCATGCACCAAGAGGTCACCGGTTCGGGGCGCATGCCCAGGTTGTGGGCCAAATCCCCAGTGGGGGGCGTGCAGGAGGCAGCCAATTAATGTTCTCTCTCATTGATGTTTCTATCTCTCCCTCTCCAGTCCTCTCTCTCTCTAAAATCAATAAAGGAAAAAATGGTCTCTTGGCCCTGGCTGGTGTAGTTCAGTGGTTAGAGTGTCAACCCATACATCGAAGAGTGGAGGGTTTGATTGCAGGTCAAAGGCACGTACCTGGGTTGCAGTTTCAGTCTGGTGGGTTGCAGATTAGATCCCTGGCCCCGGGTGGGATGCATGCAGGAGGCAACCAATTGATGTGTCTCTCTCACATCAATGTTTCTCTCTCTCTCTCCTCCCCTCCCTTTATTCTCTCTAAAAATCAATGGAAAAAAATATCCTCATGTGAGGATTAATGACAACAACCAAAAAATTGATCTCTTGCTCTTATTCTACCTAGATTAGCACTAACAGACTTGATTCTTGCTGATGGGAAGTCTGCAGTCTGTGCTATGCTTCCAGCAGGGTAGCCACGAGCCACATATGGTGATTGAGCACTTGAAATGTAGCTGATCTGACCAACAAGCTGACTTTTTCATTTAAGTATTTCAATACAGCCCTGGCCAGTTTGGCTCAGCGGTTAGAGCGTCGGCCTGCGGTCCTGAGAGACCCGGGTTCGGTTCCCGCTAAGGGCATGTACTTCGGTTGCAGTTTGTCCCCGGCCCTGGTTGGTCGTGCGGGTGGCAGCCACTCGATGTGTCCCTTCACGTCGATGTTTCTCACTCTCTCTCCCTTCCGCTCTCTCCCTCCCACTCTATCTGTACAAAAAATGGAAAAATATCCTCGGGTGAGGATAAAAAAAATAAAATAAAAATAAGTATTTCAATACATTTCAATAGTCGCCAGTGGCTGCCGTATGGGACAGAATGGATGAGATTCTCTCCCTTCTTACGCTGCTTAGGGAGAGTGTGGGCAATGGATTTTCTTCCTTGGGGATCTTTTTGTTCATCTCCAAAACCCCAGCACACCTCCCAAACTCTGATACAACGTCAAGAATTCCTGCCAAGGTTCCTTTTATCACTGGGCTCCGTGCGTCCCAATCAAGGGACCGTTTGAAGTGCGGCAATGCTAGCAATTTCTAGGCTTGCTTACACAGTGCTTAAACTCTCTCTGATAATCATCTTGCTGAGTAATATCATTATCCTGGTCAGAAATCAAGACTTAAGGTCAGAGTTCAGTGTCTATATGTTCGAGGTTTTGGAGGGAAATGAAGATAGTTGTGAAGAGACATTCCAGATTTTTAAATGATTGTGTGACTATATACTAGGAAAAAAAACCACATATTTTCTTTCTTTTTTTTTAAAGTGTTCTCCAGATCACGTCTTTTTTTTTTCTTTATTGATTTTTAGAGAGGAAGGAAAAGGGAGAGATAGAAACATTGATGAGAGAGAACATCGATGGGCCACCTCCTGCGCGCCCCCCACTGGGGATCAGGCTCACAACCTGGGCATGTGCCCTGACCGGGAATCGAACCAGCGACCTCCTGGTGCATGGGTCAGTGCTCAACCACGGAGCCACACCGGCCAGGCTAAAAAAACACATTTTCTATGTATCTACCTGCACGGAAAGCAGCTAACTGGAGTGTTTGGAAAGCTATAGATAGGGCCTGGGTAACTAAAGGGCAGTGTGAAGCAGAAATAAAGCATCCCCACGAGAACCGACCGCGACAGGAAAGGGGGCGTATCTGTTTGCCAGGGCCCCATAACAACGAAGTCCAAGATCAAGGCGTCGCAGGGCTGGTTTCTCCTGAGGCCTCCCTCCGTGGCTCGCAGACAGCCCCCTTCTCACCGTGTCCTCTCCTGGTTTTCCTGTGTGGGCCTCCCTGGTACCTCTTCCTCTTCTTGCAAGGACACCAGGCCTGCTGGTTTAGGGCCCACACACATGACCCCATTTCACTTCAGAGCGGCCTTCTCTAAAGGTTTTCTTTCCCATGCAGTCGTTACTGAGAGTTAGGACTTCAACATCTGAACTGGGGCGGGGTTGGGGGTGGACACCCAGTTCAGTCCGCAGCAGGGGTTAGCTTTGCTGCGTGAAGCCTGGACTGAAACTTCTATCACACATTCACAAGACTCACTACTAATGGACCGAAACTAGCTTCTTCTTCTCCTCCAGAAGGAAGCAGTGGCGACAACTCAACCCTGACCAGCCACCACCCGGACCCCGAGCCTCCGGAACAGTGCCACGGTGAGCTTCTGCCAGCTGCCCCACCCGAGCTGGGTCTGGGAGGGAGACTCAAGCCCCCGGCTTTCTGTTCATTGGCGTGGGGTGGCCGAGTGTGACCCGTCTTCCTGTGCGCTGCTGCGGCCTGTTCATGGCTTCCCGAACAGTGTGCAGAGTCTGCCTAAAAATCTATCTTGCCCTTGACCCCATTTAGACTCACAGTCTTTGGTACAGATGGCTTTAAGGTCCCATCCTCCCGACGGGAGCCAAAGACGCCCTGAGTCCAAAGGCTTGTAGAGGTTTCCAACAGAAAGACCACAAACGTCAGTTAGTCCCTTTTCTGCCCAAGGCGGGAGCTTCATTGTCGAACCCTCTGCGTATTTCTGTCCTTCCCCCCCTGGAATGCTTCCAGCCACAAGGAGGGTGGTGCTTCATAAAGCGACCACTACGCCACATGTCTGACTGATAGAAAGTTTAGCTTTCTTCTACATCTGGCTTTCTTTATTCTGGCCTCATTGAACGACCAGCTGTGTTCACCTCTGGGCCCTCACTGAGAATAACAGGCGAGAATGCACACAGGTTAAGGACACGGCTTTGGAGTCCTGCACACTGGGGTTTGAGTTCTAGTTCTGCCACCCCGTGGCCTTGGGCAAGTTACAGCCTCAGCTTCTTCATGCACAATGGGAACAACAACTGTACCTATCACTTCTCAAGGAACAAACAAGGTGACGTGCCGAGCATACAGCACAGCACATGGCGTGCCTTGGGAAAGGTTACGATTGTATTATTATCATTATTATTTGTTTAATCCTCACCTGAGGATTGTTTTCCATTTATCTTCAGATAGAGTGGGAGGGAGGGAGGGAGAGAGAAACATGAGAGGGACCCATCGACTGATCGCCTCCCGCACGACCCTGACCAGGGCCGGGAACACACCACCACCGAGATACATGCCCTTGAACGGAATCGAACCCACGACCCATTGGTCTGCAGGCCGACGTTCTAACCGCTGAGCCACGCCAGCCAAGGCACGATTGTATTGTTACCGTTGTTCTCGTTATGAAAGTCGGAGAAGGGGCGGGCTGGTGTGATGCTCTCTCTGCCCCCAGATGTGGACTTCTGCTCGCGAGCTTCCCGGTGCTGCCACGTCGGAGTGGACGAGTACGGCTGGATCGCGGCCGCTGTTGGCTGGAGTCTCTGGTTTCTCACCCTCATCCTGCTCTGCGTGGACAAACTGATGAAGTTAACTCCAGACGATCCCAAGAGCTTGCAAGCGTGAGCCGGAGACTCGGAGCCCGAGAATGCCAGCCACCACCCCCTGCGGCTAGCAGCAGGACCGAGGAGCCCACGGGGTTCCTAGCAAAGACATCTGCACCTGGAAACTGCAGTGACTTTGGGAAGGGAGGAACGAATGGAAGGGGTCCCAATCAAGGGGAGGCCAGGGCTCCAATTGCAAGAGGCAGGTGGGCCTTCCGAGCCCTGATAATTTCCTTTCTTGAGAGTCTCTGTGGGAACGGCTCTGTGTTAACCGTGGCTCTCCTCTGGGCTCCCACAGGGGTGCACACGGAGCATAAGGCTTGGTCTTTAAGTCAACACGTTTGACATTAAACTCATAACCCTCTCACTGAGCACAGGTCTCTGTCATCTGTCCCTCACTTCAGTCAAGGGCATCCCTGTCACTTCAAAATGGAAGGGTCACCTTTGACGCCCCCAGTGTCTTCAGCCCCATGTCCAGGCTTCTCCGGTTCTGTTCCTTCCTCAGGTACACCTTCTGTGGCTCTCCTGTCCCACCCTCCCTGCCAGCATCCTGCTTCTGGCCCTCGCCACGTCGTCCCCGCGTATTTCTGGGATGTTTCCTTCGTTTCTGTCTTCAGCGTCTTTCTCCCCTGGCCCTGAGCCCTACGCATGAGTTCAGTCACCCGACTCCCAGCACAGGGGTGAAGGGCCCTCACTGGCCCCTCAGCTGGATGGACGTCCTCCAGGTCTCCGCTGCTCTTCACCTCTGCCTCCCAACCCCCCTCCAGAATAAAGGCCACTGCTCTGCCTGGAGCCTTCCTGATCCTCTTGGGGGACCCGGAGCTGGTGCTCTTGGCTGCTCTGCCCCGAGGTGCAGCCGTCGTGAACGGACCTGGTCGCAGTCAGTTCCTGCTTCCGGGCACAGGAAGCTCCTCGTGATGCTTGCCCGGTGAGTGAATGAGTCCTTGCCCCACATGAACGTACGGCCATCATTTTGCATTCGGAGCCTCCATTTTTCTGTAAGTGGTCAAAATACCCAAACTTCCCGAGACGCCAGTTTGATTCCAGGGCTGTCGGAGACTCAGCACGGGGATGTGGCCTTGTCACAGTGAGTCTGGAGGGCAGGAGGGTGGGCTCATCGGCAGGAAGAAAGGATGAAAGGACTCTTTACGAAACACTTCTGCCCTTTGTTGAGAACCATGCATTTAGATTGATCAACTCTAATCAAAATATGAAAAAAAAAAAAATAGGAAGAAACATGTTGCAAAGGTGACAAATGACTCAAAGCTGCCCAGGGCCCTTACAGAATATCGAAATACATTTCCCCGACGATGGAAATTAAAGGGATCTCCTGGCTCACTCTGAAGAGCCAGGTGGATTTAGAATCTCAATTGTTCAACCAGTAAAATGGGACGAAAATGTCGTGTCTACGTGTTGAGTAATCACGTGAACAAAAGTGTCTGCACAATGCCCGGTGTGTGCTGGGGACATACACATCAGTCTGTGGCCCACTTTTTCAGAGATTCCCAGAGTTGCCACCGTACACGATCGTTGAATTCCTTAGAGATGAAAGGTTTGGTGATGAGCACGCTTGGATTTCACACCTGCACACATTTCTGAAACAAAACAGTATGTCATAGTGGGAAGCGTGCTAGCCCCAAAAAGAAAAGGGGAATTAAGCTCTATTTCTGGCCAGTGCAAACAGAAACAAGTCCCTGCCTTGCTGAGCATCAATCTTCAGAGTGAAAAATGTACGACTTGGACCAACCGCTGGGCTGGTTGCAAACCCGTGCAGCTCTCCGGGGTGCTGCGTGGGGAGGTGAGCACCAGGCTGTCTCTGTAGCCAGAGCCTGGGCTCTGGTCTCTTTCATATATCAGCAGCACCCGCCCCGGTAAGATTTAATTTGCTGCTTTAAAAAGCAGAGTCAGCACCAGCTGATGTCTGAGATCTCCTCCAGTCGGGGCGACACGTAGCTTCTTCGGCTACATGGGAGTGAATTACGTGAAGGTGCTCGACCATTGTCGCATTAAAAGTTAGGGATTCTGTGAATCGCTTTCCTTCCATGTGCCCAAGAGGAAGGCAGGTGCAATCCCAACAACTGCTCTTTTCTCTGAGGCAGGGAGGAAAGACGGTTATATAATTCGATGCTGTAGCTCAGATTTGTTCTTAGCATGGAATCCATCCTGGCAGAGCAAAAATCTGTCAGTGAATTCTCAAACTATGTATCAGTTTCCAGGGAGTCTAAGAGCTTCCTGGTATAAAGCAGAAGGACCTGCCTAACTGGAGATGTACTTTGCACTTAAAAATTTTGCCTGGCCCTGGTCAGTGTGTCAGCAGTTAGAGCGTCAGCCCGAGAACCGAAGGGTCATGGGTTCGATTCCCAGTCAAGGGCATGTCATGTGGGAGGCAACCGACTGATGTGTCTCTTTCACATTGAGGTTCCTTTCTCTCTCTCTGTCTCTCTCCCTCCCGCCCTTTCACTCTATCTAAAATTCAATGGAAGAGCCCAGCTGGTGTGGCTCAGTGGTTGAGCATCGACCCATGCACCTAGAGGTCACCGGTTCAGTTCCTGATCAGGACACATGCCCAGGCTGTGGGCCAGATCCCTGGTGGGAAGGTTTGCTGATCGATGTCCTCTCTCATCAATGTTTCTCTTTTTCTCTCCCTCTTTTTTCTCTCTCTCTCAAAATCAATAAAGATAATTTTTAAAAATCAATGGAAGAATATCCTCGGGTGAGGATTACCAACAACAAAAAGAATGAAATGTTGCACCATGCAAGATTAGTCGAAAGCAAGTCTTAGGCTAATTTTTCCACAAAAAAATAAACATAAGCATATTTTTAAACTTAGAGAAATATCAATCTAGAAAAGTTTTTGAACCCTGGCATCGGTTTGAGGTCCCAGGTGTGATTTCACAGTCTTCACTGATGAGCGGTAGGTGTGCTCTGTCCTACCTCGAGTCTATCACCAGCCTTATCTGGGCTCCAGCCCATTCACACTTCCTTCCAGAACGTGGGAGGACAGGGTGGACAAAACCATTTGTGTCACGAGTCTGTGGTTTTTAATTTTTTTTTTAAATCCTCACTCGAGGACATTTTTCTATTTATCATCAGATAGAGTAGAAAGGAGGAAGAGAGAAAGAGAGACATCGATTGGTTGCCTCTTACATTAAAAGACTTAAACATGAACACAGTTTCTTTTCTTTTAGATACGTTTTCTTTATTGATTTTAGAGAGAGAGGAAGGGGGGAAGAGAGAGAGAGAGAGAGAAACATCAGTGAGAGAGAACATCGATTGGCTGCCTCCTAAACGCCCCCCACTGGGGCCCACAACCTGGGCATGTGTCCTGACCAGGAATCGAACTGGCGACCTCTTGGTGCATGGGTCGATGCTCAGCCACTGAGCCACACCAGCCAGACCACAAATACAGTTTCTAACAACTCAACGCCACATCTCTAGGATGACCCCAGGCCCCCTTAACCTCCTGAGAGGACTCAGGTTGCCAAAGAATTTACTATTATTCTAACCAAGATCTGACAATGGGCCCCTCACCATCCTTTCTTGGAGCATTTACTCAAAAATGCTCATAGTTGTGAATCCTTCTCTGTTCATTTGAGATGTCTCTATCTATCATCTATCTATCTATCCATTCATCCATCCATCCATCCATCCATCCTACAACTCACGATATGAAAGTCATGTCTTCAATCTGTCATCAGGAAAGATGGGGCCTCTGTCTCCCAGTCTCTATGGGGGGACAGAACCCTAACTTCAGGAGCTGCCCACTAGCAGACACAGCTGGGCTCCTCGCATTTGCACTCACCATCTCTGTCATTTCTCACCTCCCTGACTCTCGGGAGCCCCCACCCACACTCACACTCCACTCCCCCACTGTCCTGGTAAGACACCCAGTCTTCTCCATACAGATCCAGGTTGAATGCAGTTCACACTGGGCTGGTCCTCTTCCCACTGCAGTAGCACCTTACGGATTAAAAGCTGTCCTTACCAATTTCTTGTCCAGCTTTGTTGAGCACTGACAACTGAGCCCTGCAGACCACTGGGTCTGCTGCCTGTCTTTCTCGGGGATCCCTCTGAAGGCGGGACCCCGTCTTTCCCCGCGACTCCTCCCGCCCGCGCCCGGTCCGCAGCAGAGCTCAGTCAGTGTTGGATGAGTTCGCGAATCAGAGGAAGCCCAGGAATGTGGCCTGTGCAAAGGGCCACACGAAGCACACAGCCCTGAACACGCAGGCGGCATCTCCTGGGCAAACTTGGGGTTTGAAAGGTGGAAAAAATGTAAATTACTGTTTGTGCAAGTTTATAATTATGCACATTCAAGTCCTCTGTGGAAACGAGTCGCTGGCAGATCTGCCCGACAAGTGAATTCTATGATGAGACTGAATCTGCAGATGGACCAGGGCCAGACCAGATCTAAAAACAGAACTTGGACCCACAACCTGTAGCGAGCTGTCCAGGAAGCTGAACTATCTCCGCAGCAGCCAGGCCAGGAGCCAAACACCACCGTCCCCGGCAATTGGCCCAAACAGCCAGGATTTGGTTAATAACTGACAAACTTCAGCTCACTTCATTAATTTCTGTGCCCACTTTCAACTTAGGACCAACTGAAGAAGCCAACTACGTCCCCTGATCAATCATACAGCTGCTCCGGCCAGCACCTCCGTCAGGGCCCCCTGAAGACCAGCGGCCTGGCCGCCACCAAAACGCTCCCCTCCCCCCTGCCAGCCTGAGACTCTGCCAAACATGCATGGTGGTGGCTGCCTCCTTCACCACGGCAAGCTCCGAAAAACAGCGTTCGCTGCTTCTCCTTCGGGTGGACGTTGTTTATTTCCACAGTGACTACTTGTTGAACTCTTTGTTGAGATGTTTGTCCTGTTCCTTGTACCTTGAAGTAGATCTTTTTGTGCCCCCCCCACCACCACTATTCCTATGTTGAAGCCCTAACCCCAGTACGTCAAATGTGACCTTATTTGGAAATAGGGTCATTGCAGATCGAGTTAAGATGGGGTTCCGCTGGAATAGGGTGGC